TTTTAGTTCTATCAGCTTCTGATATGCCCCCCTCCCCCCAAGTCCCTCCCCCCTCGCTCCTTTTCTGGCCCGCTGAAGCTTATTGAATTACTTGTCTGTAGTTTGTTGTTGTTGTTGTTGTTGTGTCAGCTTGTGTGTGTCTGTACTTTTTGCCATTTGCTTGCTTGATGCCATTTCGCGTATAATTGTTTAATGTCCTGTTTTATTCTTGGCTTGGCTTGGCTTGGCTTGGCTTGGCAACTGGCACTCATGCTCATGCTGGTCCTGCTACTGCTACTGGTCCTGTTCCTGATTCCTGATTCCTGATTCCGGCCCCTCGTCCTCGTCCTCTGACTGTGACTGGGTCGCTTTATTCACACGACACGCACAATAGACACAGCGCTGTTTCCCCCATTGTTTGGCTCTGCTTTTCAGCCTTTTCTGCGATTTTCAGCTTTTTTGTTGTTGTTGTTCTTCTTCTTCTTCATCTTCTTCTTTGCATTACCTAGACTGGAATGCGATTGTTGCTGCTGCTGCCGTCTGCCGTCTGTCGTCTGCCGTCTGCCGTCTGCTTCGATCTACTTAGTTGCATAATGCTTGATCTGGCTTTGATTAATGAGTGTCCTTTTCCCGCTGTGCCTCGATCATCTCACATATATCTGCCACTAAAAATGCATGCCAACCAGTTGCTGCTTGTTGCAAATCAATTAAATATTGCTATTCAAATGAAAACCAAAAGTCATTTTTAGTCGACAATTCAAGCAAATAATATGCAATATGCATATATATACATACATATATATATATATATTCACTATATGTGACATGATCATTAACTGATTATAATAGCCTCAACTTGCTTGCCTTGACAGTGTTGCCAACTCTTCTGAAATGGCATTGCCAGCATTGCCAGACACTCGCTAAAAACTATTTGGCTGAGCTGATCTAGTTGATTGGCTTAAAGCTTAGCTGGCCGCCATTTTGTTTAGCTTGCTTAGACAAATGCATACACAAACAGTGTGCGTGTGTGTGTGCGTGTGTGCGTGTGTGTGTGTGGTGTGTGTGTGTCCATTTCAAGCTGTGCCTTCGATAATTGCACTGCATTTCGTATTGCAATGCGAATGCACACACACAAACACTAACACACACACACACACACACATACATGCACACACATGCATACACACACATGCATACACACACATGCACACACACACACACCCACCCACTCAGGCACACACACATGCATAGATATGAAGGCTGCCATTCGCAGGCTGCGTTGGCAGGCCTACGTCTCTCTCTCTCTCTATCTCTCTCTCTCTCTCTCTCATTCGCTCTCTCTCTCATTCGCTCTCTCTCTCTCTCTCTCTCTCTGTCTCTCTTGCACACACACTCACGCATATGCAGTTGGCATTAGCTTTGTTGAGCCTCAGCACTCAGCTTTTTTATTGCATACTTTGCAGGGTTGCTGCTGCAGTTGCTGCGCGCGCCATTTTTGTGTTGCACTTGTTGTTTGCAACACACACACACAGAGAAACTCATATACATATATAACGGATGTATATAACATGGAACGAGTGCAGCAGCGGCTGCAATGTGCCACAAGCAGCACAGCTCGTCGCACAGCGACTCGTTCCACTTTGCAACGCATCCAACGTCTGCCATTCGCTGCATGACTATGCAAATTGCACGCCCACAACACGTTGCGCACCGCGTCGCACCCTCTGCGAACAGCCTAACCCTAAGGATGCAAGGATGTTGATGTAGACGAGCACTGCAGGCGCGCCACAGAGCAGAACAGAGCACAGCAGCAACCACAACAACAACAAGAACAACAAGAACAAGAACAGCAACAACAACTGACCAATGTCCAACCCCCTTTTGGGATTTTTGTTGGTTGGCAAGCTAACCTTTCACCCCGGGGCGCGAGGCTTTTGTGGCATCATCAAAGGATGCACTTTTTGTGTGTGCTTTCTGCTTGCTGCTTGAATTATTGAATTGCTAAATAAAAAGGCATGAAAAGCTTTCAACTTTAATTGGCTTGTTGCCACAAACAAAGCTGCAATCAAACTCTCTCTCTCTCTCTCTCTGCCTGTCTCTCTCTCTCTATCTCTGTCTGTCTCTCTCTCTCTCTCGCTCTCTCTCTCTCGATTGCATTCGTTGCGGCCACCCCTCGTTTGTCGCTGTTGCCCATTAAACGTCAATTAATGTCACCTTCAACAACTGCAATTGCAATTGCGGCAACAACAGCAATAATTATGTGTAAGGCAACCCCTGGACGCAGCCACTGCCACTGCCACTGCCACTGTTCCACGCCCTGCTCCTTGCCCCTGACCCTGTCCATGTCCCTGTTGCTGCTGCTGCTGTTGCTGTTGCTGGCAAATCTTCACTGATTTTGTTTTGATTGCGACGCGTGCGTTGCTGTCACTTGGCGTCTCTCCCCTTCAGTCGCACCTCGTCCCGGCGACGGCGAGCCAGACAGCCTGTATGTGTGTGTGTGTGTGTGTGTGTGAGGAGAGCAGCGAGTGTCGAGTGCAGCGTGCAACAAGTGTCCTGCATTTTGCTCTCGTCCGTCCTTGAGTTTATTCCAGTGTTATTTTCATTGAGCCACAGCGGCGTGTCTATATATCTGTGTGTGTGTGTGTCTATGTGTGTGTGTATCTATGTGTGTATCTATGTGTGTGTGTGTGTCTATGTGTGTGTGTGTGTGTGTGTTGTTGTGCTTTATATGGGATATTTTATATATTTATATGCACAAGTTGTGTTCTTTGTAATTCGATTTAATTCAAATCTCTTCAATTAAATTCGATTTTCCTGGGTTGATCATCTCGAGTTGAGTTTTATACCTCTAATTTTTGATCGGCGACTGTCTATGTGTCTATATAGTGTTAATAGACTACCTAAACGGGCTAATCCTCATTTACGACTTCCCCTCAAATGTTTTTTGTTCTTTCTTGTTTTACCCAATCAAAACTTGTTTTTGTTGAGTTGAAGAACTAAAGGAAAAATTCGATAGAATACCCAAATTAAATTTAGAGTTTTGCAAGTTTATTAAAGGATCGTAATTCAGTTAAATGCATATTGTAATTTGCTGACGATGTGCATCGAGATGTTGCTCGAGATACTCCTCTAACTTACTCACAATATATATCCATATACATAAATTCTTCTTAATCTTATATATGCTATAGATTAACTCATCCAGTTGCATTTGAATTTCATTGGAAAACCAAACGATTGGCAGCTATATAATATGGTTGTCCGATGTTGGTAATCTGATTGAGATTGGTTCGAATATCTTCAAGAACAACGAAGTTGTTCATCCAAAAACGCATCTGGCAGCTGTGTGATATAAACGGATATATATATATATATTATTATAATTGTGATCAAGAATATATATATATTTATATATATGCTAATTGACACAGCTTCCAACAAGATTCGATTTTAAATTTTTAAAAGAAGTTTAAGTTTGCCATTAAATCGATTTAAAGAATGCCACCAAATTGTGACAACAATTTAAATCCATTGAAATTATTTATTTTTATTCATTTATGGCTTGAAATCTTCTCCATTCATCCATGAACTGTAACATTTTTCATCTGTTTTTTCATCCCAATCAGTTTCTTTATTAACTAAAGAACACTAAATATTCTTCAGTTTTTTTTTTATATTCAATTTTGTTCTACATCAAAATGTAAATGGAAACAAATAACAAATATTTGCAATAAATAAACTGATTATCGGCTGGCAAAGTGCTCTTGATTAGAGCTTCATTTTGTTTTCATTTTTTTCTTCTTCTCTCTTATGTACATTAAAGATTGTGTGTACATGCATATACACACACACACACACACACACATATGGATTTGCGTGTGTGTGTGTGTGTAATTCTGTTCAATTTGCCTTCGGTGCTAACAGCTTTGAGCACAGTGCTCGCAGTTTTACTTCCTTTGCTGCTTCCTTCTTCCTTTTGACGCTTAAGCGCCGCCGTCGTCGTCGTCGCCGCTTTCAATTTTTTGGCAACGCCAACGTCGACAGCGACGCAGCGCAACATTATCCTGGCATCTGCTCACTTACTACAACTACACTCACTCTTACACTCACACACACACACACACACACACAAGCATAGCCAAAGCTCCCGGTTCCAGTTCCAGGCAGCGCGCGCCCCGTTTCTGAGTCGTTTATTTTATTTTATTTTTTTAAGTTTTTGTTTCTTGGCTCCGTTGCCAAATTTTGAGTCGGAGTTTTTGAGTATCATATTGGGCTCAACTGTGGGGCAATAGTTGCCAAACCGATCTTGATAGCTGTGTGTTGTTTCTAGTTGTGTTATTTTGTACATAAGTATGCATATATTAGTAGCTCAATCCGCGAAACCGCTTTTGTTTGGCTCAAACTTTTATTAAAATATCATTAACTTGGTATTGTTTATTTTTTTGTTGCTTATTTTATTTATATATATATATATTTTTTTTTTTGTGTTGCGTACCAGTAGCAGTGAGTTAGAATTTGACAAACTCGAAGCTTTAGCATTCAGTCTCAAGCCAAAAGTCACTCAGTTCGCTGAATTGGCGGGACTCATTTCTCATTCCACTCACACTCATTAAATTTCGGCAAAAGCCACAAAAACACACATACATACAAACACACACACATAGACACTAAACAGAGAGAGGGGTATACACAAAAACATCGCACATTGGTTTTGTGCTGTGCTGTCTTTCGCTTCGCTGCTGCCGTCGACGCTGCTGCTGGCGCTGCTGTTTGCTTGCGCTGTCTGTGTGTTTGTGTTTGTGTGTATACAAAGCATAGGAATTTGGTCGAAGGCAGAGAGCGTTGGCGGCCAAAAAATGCTTGAGTGTAACTGTTAAGTGATAAATGTTACGCACTCAGTGCTCTGTTAGGCAGCGCGTTGAGCTCTTTTTCTATGTCTCATCGCACGCGTCTCTCTCTCGCCCTCTCTCTCTCGGTCGTTCTCATTCTTTTTGCTCTGTTTCGGCTGCCGCTGCCGCTGTCGCTGCTGCCGTTGCTGTCGCTGCTGCTGCTGGTGCTGCTGCGAATGCCAGCGGCATGCACGTCGGTCATTTTTGTATTTGGAAGCACAATTACTTTCCGTCATTTGTATTTGGAACGCCGCAGCAGAAAGAAGGTCGTCAAAAAGCATTATTGGCACAACATTTTCGGCAAAAGGCAAAAAAAAAAAAACACCAACAAAAATCAAATCAAACGCAAAGAAAAGTTAAAATTATGCATTAACGTCGTCCGTCGCCGCCGTTGTTCATTGTTTTTTTTCCCTCTGTTGTGTTTGTTCGTAAATAGTTTTATTTTCAGTTGTTCGAGAAACCGCAAAGTGATCTTGATCTGCTGTTGCTTCTTCTCCTTCTTCGCTCGCTCGTTCGTTCGTTCGTTCCAAAACGTAAGCAAGAAAACGAAAAAAAAAACCAAAAAAAAAACAAAAATGAAATGAAATAAAATAAATTAAAACAAAGAGCGCGCAGAAATCGTTCAAAATTACGAAATCCCCCACACATAACCGAACATAAAATAGGAAAGCAAAAACATATCATTCAAAGCCAATAACACACACACACACGAACGCACAGCAGGCATGCATACCAATACGAATGCAGAGCAATGTTTTTACAATTGCCAAAAAAAAAAAGTTGACAAACGCTTTTAAAAAGAAAGTAAAACAAAAAGCGTTCAACTTGTGCTTAATGTTTGTTGTTGCGTTTCTTTTAATCGACGTCGTCAAATAATTAGCAACACCAGCAGCAACAGCAGCAGCAGAAAGAACATCCAATAAATAGTTGTCGCGTTGGCGGGCGGGGGGCATAGCGGGGGGATAGTTGGACTCAACAGCAGCATAGGGGGGAGGGCGGGGCGGCTAGAAGCTTTTGCTTTTTTTTTTTATGTCGTTGCTGTTGCTGCTGTTTTCTTTTTTCGTGGCATATTTTTTGTATGTGCTTGTGTGTGTGTGTGCGTGTGTATGTGTGCGTGCGTGCGCGTGTTTTGCCGCCCCGCAACTTTGTGTGTTTTTTGTGCCTTCTTTTTTTTTCTTACAACTCGAAACTCACAAAAAGTAGCCAAAAAAAATGTGTACAAATTGCGTTTGCTTTTTCTGAGTTTTGATGCTGTTTTTTTTGTTGTTGTTTGTTTTAATGTTTGCATAAGCAAAACATTAAACAAGTGTTACATTAAACAGTTTGAAACATAATTATATATTTAATAATAATATAAATACAACACATTCAAACGTTTTTTTTTTTTACATAATTTCTAAAATATATACACAAAAACGCGCGCACACACACACACATATATATATATATATATATATATATATACATATACATACATATATATATATATGCTATAAATATATATATATATATATATAAATACATGCATACAAATGTATGCGAACGTTTAAAACATAGCGAGCTGCTGGCAAAGTCAAACAAATGCAAATACAAAGTCAACGCAAAAATAACAAACACAATTTTTAAAGACGCTCTGACATCATCTGCGCTAATATTACAACAAAAATAAACCATAAGCAGCAGGCGACAATAACAAAAACTACAACAACCACTACGACAAACTGCAATCAGAGAGAGAGAAGTAAGCCAACAATAAAAAGTAGTACACAAAAAAAAAAGAAATACCAAAATATGAGCAATAAAACCGCATTTACAACAACCAAACAAACAAAAGAGCAACAAGAATTTTCACCATTTTTGGGCACATTTTTTTCTTTTTCTTTGTGTGTGTTATTTTTTTTGTGGTTTCTTATTCGCTTTTCGTGATTTTGCTTTGCTCCTACTACTTATTCACCACACAAACAAAAAATGCCAACAACAAAAAAAAATTGCCAAAAAAGAAACAGCAACGCACGCACGCACACACACGCACACACACACAGACACACACACACAGACACACACACACACACACACACAAATACACCGACCAAGATCAAAGTCAACATGACGACAACGACAACAGCAGCAGCAGCGGCAGCAGCAGCAAAGCTTTCTCTCTCTTGCGCTACGTTCACGCATCGCGTAAATCTCTTCTAATGGGAATGCGGCCCCCGCTCACGCGTCGACGCAGGCGTGCGCCCACTCAACGGCGTCGGCGTCGCTGTCAGCGATGTTGATGATGAAAGCTTTGCTCTACTCTGCTCACTTGGTTGGCTGTTAAGTAGCAACATGTCGCAACGTGTTTCTTACTTGCCGGCCGGCCGGTCTCTGATCACTGGCCGCTGCAACAACAAACAGCTGTTGCGCTATGAACGGCCCTTACTCTCACTCTTTCTCTATATCTCTCTCTGTCACTCGCCGGCTGTAAATGGCGCTAGTAGTTAAAGTAGGCGGTGTGATGGGGTGGGATGGTCAATGGGTTCATTGTTAAGCTCTGTTGAGCTTTTTATGTTATAATATTGCCATTGCATTCGTATGCATTGAAAGCTCAAATATGTGTATGTGTGTGTGCACTAGCCCAAAATAGTTGTATGATGATCGAAATGAGACACACACACACACACACAGCAGTTGTGAGAGCTTTTTTTTTGACAAACTGTCGAATTTGGTTTTAAGTGTTATTCTTTGCTCTTCAAATCTGATTAATACTTAATATTGTCTTCTCACGTTGCAGATTTTCACCAATTTGGCCAAATTGATACAAATACCATTTCTTTTCGTATTGGAGACCACTGCAACAAATTTTATTTCGAAATTCATTGAAAAGACATCAGAAAGAGCAAAAAAAAAAAAAAAAACGCGCGCATAAAAAGCTTAAAATAAAATATATAATTACAACTAATAAAACTCAAACAATGCAAGAACAGCAACAATAATTAATGGACAAACAACCAGCTGTAAACGACAATTTCTCGATAAAAAACAAAACCGCAAAATTCGTTTCGGTATCAACCTTAAAGCAAAACAATAATCAATGAGCCAAAAACACGAGTCATAGTAAAAAAAAAAAAAGTTAAGCATCAAAATTCAAATAAAGAAACGTCCTTTTTGAAGCATTCCACGCCCGAACACAACAACAAAAAAATAAATAAATAAAGAAAAAGAAAAATCCAATCGCGAAATATCAAAAATAAAACAAGAAAAGAAATTACAACGACAGACACCTAAAATCAAATCACCAAATTCTAAAGTGTTTTCCACGGTGAAACGTAATCCGAGCTTTTTTTTTGTCTGTTTAGCAGTACTCGAAACAACCGCAAATCGTGATAGATCAAACAAATTGGTATCTGTACTGAGCATATATATATTTTTTTTGCACGAATTTGAGCCCGACCACTGCGCAAAGTACCTCCTCCCACCAAGCCCTGCAAAAAAAGAAAAAGAAAAATAAAAAGCAGAAAAAACAAAAACAAACGCAAACGCAAACAAAAAGAGAAATAAGAGAATCGAGCAAAAGAAGCAGCAACCAATTAAAAGTTCTTAAACGCCGCAGCAAGAAGAAGCAGCAGAGAGTACAGCTTTAAAGATGGCTTCCGAACTGGATCAATTCGCCGATTTGGAATTATCAAAAGAGGATCGTGAGCAAATCTTTGATCCGCCATTGGATCGGCAGCAATTGGAAGGTGCTGGCACCTCAAGGTATTTATCCATTTTCATTCCTATTTTATTTCAACCCACACCACACCCAAAAACAAAACGAGAAACCCTGAAAAAAAAAACAATAAATTAAAGAGAAACAACTACACTTGCACATCACCCTAACCCCCAAACCACCCCCCCCCCAACCCCCCAACACACCCCTCCCACCTCAACTGCCATGCAATATTCCAATATTTCATCATTTCCAATTCAGTCTTCTCACCTCTTTGATATTGTTTTTGTTTTTTGTTTTTTTTTTTTTGATAATGTTTTTAATATGTGTATAAATCTGTAGTTAATTCTGTATAAGCTTCTTGTAGAGTCTTTAGTATTATAACCGACCCCCCTCCATACCCCCATTCCCACGCTGTAGTTGTTGTGCTGCCTTGTAGCATTGAATCTGTTTAACTACTGTGGCTAAAAGGAAAATAATTAGTTAATTCGACTTTAACTTGGGCTCCCGCAAACCGAGCCATATATTTGGATGGATATATTAGGAAGGATTTTGTTTGTTCTCTATTTCTATTTGACGTTTTATCACAGTCGATACTCAAATTTGCATAGCTTGCAATATTTTCTGCTTTCTCAATTGAATTGCACTGGCAGATCGCAGAAAACAGTTGCCAAAGTAAGAGAAAAGAAGCTTATTGGCTGCAAAACGATTGAGATCAATCGAACTGAAATTGGTCCACCTGTATGCAATATATATATATATATATTATATATATAGATAGATATATGTATATATATATATATATTATATATATAGATAGATATATGTATATATATATATATATATATATATATATAGCTCAATAAGTCTGTTCAAAATGGCGCCACGACATTTTAGCTACGCCCTACTCACGCGTAACCCGTAACCCGTAACCCTAAACCTAGCAAACCAGTAAGGTAAGGCGACCCTCTTCTGGGGAGGAGAGTCAGTTGCGTTGCGTAGGGGAGCGTTCGCCTGGAGGGTGTTGGGGTATGTGGGGAGGGAGGGAGGGGGGAGAGGGGATGGTAGCTGAGAGCATCAATCCACAATTGCACAAATTATCACGCCAAATAACAAGAAGCTTGCCTCACCATGTGGCACACCCGCTGCCCGGAGAGGCCAGCCTCTGAGCGTGTGTGTGTGTGTGTGTGGCTGGCCAAGACGTTTGTCTAGCTATATATAGACGCCTACCTCCTGCTTGATGGTCAGTCAGCCAGCCTCCTTGCCACTGCCACTGCTCCTGCCGTTGCCGTTGCCCTTTCCCTTGCCATTGCCCTCCTTCGAACATACAACGCTGCTAAATAGCAGCTAATTTCCTGCGATAAATTGGCCATATCACAGAAAATGCAAAAAAAATGAAAAAAAAAAAAACAGATAAAAAAAAAGCTCTCAGACCCAAAGTCGCGCCTCGAGATGCATACCCAAAAAACAACCCAAAGAATTGAGAAACCTTTAAAAAAAAAAGAGTCTAAAAACCCTACCCAAAGCAACCCAACTCAACGCGCAACTCAACTCAACCGAAGGCGACCCTCATCAACTGCTGGTTGCTGGTTGCTGCTGCTGCTGCTGCTGCTGTTAAGCGAGTTAAGCTCAAGTGGTGTAAGTAAAAACAGATCCACAACAACAACAAGAAAAAAGAAAAGAGTAGAAAAGGAGTAGAGCAGAGTAGAGCCGAGCAGCATAGTTATAATCATTGTCACATGCATCATCATCAGAGGCAGCAGCTAGGAGCTACCATCTAGCGATCTACTAGCTTTGCACCCCTTCGCACACACACACACACACACATGCGCAGGCAGCTTGGCAGGATGTGGCAAACACAAATTGATATACTTGCCACACATTGCGTGTGACACTGTCTCACAAGCATGGATCGACCTTAGCATCCTCAGCCCCCAGATATTATCGCACCGACAAACCAAAAACCAAAAAAAAAGGAAGAAAAAAAAGCTCATCAGTTAGTTTTCTGTGATTTTGATTCTGATCCTTTACCGATCCTATGGGGAAAGCTGCAATTCTGCAATTCTCTTAATCGACAAAATTGCGATTCTGCTGTGCAAGTGATGAATATCTTACAAAAAACGTTGCTTTCGATTCTTATACGTGTAAAGATCGCTATGCTTTGCTTTCTTTGTATTTATTGTTCATTAATTTATAGTATTTTCCAATTAAAAGCGTATATAAAACATTAAAAGAAAGCAGGCTTTGATCCATTTAAGCTTAAAGGATTCAGTGTTGTGCTACTTTTTTGTTGTTTGTTCGCAACTTGATGATCGTTTGCTCAATCAGTGCGCAAAGTCTTGGGTCTATCTATCTATATATAGATAGATCTGTAGCTGATCTCTGCCATCTCTCACGCTCTACGCGCACAGGAAGCTCCCATCAAAGAGCTTTTGTCACCAATCTGAGCGGTTGATAAGCTGCTTGTTGCGACAACGGCTAAGCTGCCAGCGATGCCTGAGCAGCATCTATGGCCAAAAAGCGCACGGAAATGGAAAAAAAATACATATATATATATAGAAAAAAGGGGAAAAAAAAATAATTTACTAATTTCTAATATACAAGAAACCCAAAGGAAACACAAAACACTATAAGCAGCTCACACACACACACACACACACTCGCACAACCTTCCAGAGGCAGTCGAAATCTTTTTCTGTCGCATTTCGCTTAATCCGCCAAAGAAAACATGCCGCGGCATTTGCCCAAGGAGGCTGCTTAGAAATTACTGCCAAAATACAAAAAGGGTTGGCCAAACGCCACAACTAGAGATCGAGTGTGTGTGTGTGTCTATGTGTGTGTGTATCTATGTGTGTGTGTGTGTGTTTGTGTAATCAGGTTTCGTTGGCAGAGTTGGCGTTGAGCCTTAGATATTTAGGGCCTCGAGCGTTTTCCCTCATTTCCTTTGACTGTCCAAATTCTGAAACAAGTTTCTCACATTTCCGTCAGCGCATCAATCCCCCTTTTTTCCACTCTCTCTCCGCAGTCCGCTCTCCCTTCACCCACCTACCTAACCTAAGCAAACCAAACCATTCACTGGCTGAAAATTATATTTCGGCATTTTTAATTATACGTAGATTTTGGCTGCCTTTTTTCTAATGTTTGTTCACTTGCAAAAACAACTTCAAAACTGAAATCTCTCAGATACGAGAGATATGAAATCTGTGATCTGTGATCTGATATATAATGCGAAATGCGAGCCACAAATGCAAGTTTACAAATTTGTTTTGCATAGATTTTTTTGTTTGAGACTTGGGCAGAGGTGCTTGGGTGGCAATGGCAATGGCAATGGCAATGGCAATGGCAATGGCAGCAGAGCAGCAGCACCACCCTTTTGCTATGCCACCGAACAGTGCTAAGAGGATCTTTCTAATGACGATGAGTATTCACCCCATTTGCTGCTTTTTTGGCTGTCAGCAGCAGCAACATGTACGTATATATGTATATGTATCTGTGTGTGTGTGTATCTTTGTGTCTTTTGCCATAGGCATTTGTATCGCATTCTAATCTTTGGCCGCAATCGGTGCCTCAAGCTTGATATTGCCTACTCTATTTGATTCCCATCGATTCGATGATCCGGCCTCTTGCTGTGTCCTTGCCACACACACACACAGACATCCTGTGTGTTTGACAGTCAAATTAGTACTTGGTTTCTGTCTCTCTTTTTTGTCTGTGTGTGTGTCTGTGTCTGTGTCTGTGTTTTAAGGGAGGGCAAGTAGGCATCGCGCATACGCCATGTGTGTTTAACTGCTGATTGCTCTACTATGCTCGCTCCCCATTCAACTGACGCCCTATCCCATCCCTTTAGGGAACAACACCCCCCACCCCCACCCCCACTCGCTCTTTCTCTCTCTAATCGTGCTTCATTCAGAGGCAAACCCGTTTGGCGCGTTGATCAAACGAAGAGTTGTAGAAGAAAAAAGCAAATCACCATCAAATGGGCATTTGAATGAAATCAAGTACACACATAAGGAACGCTGGCAACGCTAGACCGATAGAAGCGGGGTACTGCTGGATGAGAGGTGGATGTGAGGGTGGTTGTGAGTGTGGGTGAGGGGGTGGAGGGGCCAGGTAAGGTTTCAAGCACATTTTGGTTCGGGGGCGTCTAAAGAGCGACACGCTGCGCTCTGCTTAAAATGTTTGTTGTTGCTTGTTGCTGCTTGTTGTTTTGTTGCCCAGCGGAAGAGCAGAAGGACGCCGAGTTTTTGAGTTGCTTGCCACATTGCCTGCCTGCCGGCCTGCCTGCTGCTGCTGCTGCTGCTGCCCCATCAAACAGGATGCAAATCCGCGCCAAGCACAAGCACAACGAACGATTCGAGTCCAGGTAGTCCGTCGTAGCCATAATGCGGGTGTATGTATATATATATATATATATTATATATTATATGTATATATGTAGATGTGTGTGAAAACGCAGGTAAAGCAAAACTTAGATTTAACGCCACGTTTTATGTTCCTGTGTTTGCCTTCCCTGCCCTGCCCCAACCCTAACGCGCCCTATATACATATCTATATATATATATATATATATATGTATTTGCAAATCACAAGCAAGATTCGAAAGTAATATAAGACAATCAGTTAAAGAACTAATGGGCATATTTCTTATATTATCGATCACCCAGAAGATATTTTCAGCGCCTCTGGCATTGCTGAAGATTACATCTATCTGGCAGATCGCAGTTAAACCCTGTATTCATCGAAATTTCATTATAAATTTGATGCAGTGTGACGATCCTGCCCAATCCTATATATATCCTATCTGCGTATATTTCAATTTACAGAAAGGTTGTTTTCAAATTTAGAGCACAGGCAGGCAGGCAGACAGGGGCGAATATATAACTATTTCGATATGTCTATATTTTGGTTGGTTGGTTAGTTAGTAGTTGAGGAATCGACTTCTCATCATGGATTGCCTTACCACTCGGAATCACATTTTATATTTGCTATAATTTACTAAAATGGCAATTAGAACAAGTCGAAAGTTTATTCAAATGTTTAGCATACA